AAGAGATGCACATGATAACGCCAGTGGTTTACTGCAGACGTCCCAGGATATGGATTGTCATTTTTTTGTTTGAAGAAATTAAATAAATCGCTGAATAACATGTCACATGTTACATTGAATACGTAAATACATAGTAACGTGCCAAACTTCATTTTGCGCGGCAGCCGCACGGTTATGAAAAGATAATTTGTCAATATAAATTGATTAATCACGATAGAATGACACAGCGTGTCAGATAAAATAAAATACGACCGGTAAGGCATGAAATGTTATTGTTCAAAATATTAATCTTCTGTTTGAACTTTCAACCCAAACCCCAATTTTAACGAGGATATTGCGATAATTAATTGCCTATTCGTGAACTGTTTATATTTGTGCAATATTTTCGCAGGCCTTAGCGAGCTAAGAAAATACGTTCATATACCCTCACAACTCCGAGGTGATAACTCATGGCAGTCATATTCGCTAGGTGGCAGAAAAACCTCGCTAAAATGAAAGCTGCAATAATAACCGGTCTATGCTAAACCAAGTATGGCGGATGACATGTGTAGTGCCCTCTACCAATCATTCCGGGCGCAGATTATTTTCTTTGTGATGCTCTATATGGTGGCGGGGGAGGGGGGTTACCATGATAACAGCAGGGTTGACAATGATTGTTCAAATATTCTGCCCGAGTCGAACGTATTGAGACGCATATAATATAAAGCAGATTAATGCAAGACAATGCAAATAGAATTAAAGTAAATCTCTGCATTGTACTTGACTAATCCTGGTTAGTATTTAGATTCATTCATGCATGCATTTGCATAAATAATGACGTCATTTACCAGTCTGTACATTTAACTATTTGCAGAACAGTGACATACGTAGATTGGTTTATGCAAATTAGCATCTTTTGACATTCACTTATTAGGAAAATTCAAAGTCAGCATCGCCTTAAATGATTGGCCTGAAAGGTTTACACATAATACAACAGCTAGTATAAAACATAAAAACTAAAATAAGGCTTAAATTCGGACGGGCGACCTCAAATGACTCACGGCATGTAAGTTGTCACGAGCGGATTGATACTATATAACAAAATTTTGACAAAGCCGTTCTGGACATTGTAAACATGTCTTGGAATTAAGTGGCATTTCAAATTTATATGTGGCAATTAAGTATTAAGAGAAATATTGTTCACGCCTGCTTAAATAAATGTTTGAATATTCAAAATAATCATTTATATGGCGATATTGTATCTAAGGCAACACACGACATGACCTTAATTAGGGTCACGTGATACTTTTCTACACATATGGCGTATCCTACTGTACTGCGCGATTACTCAGACATTCAAAACCGAACTTTTATTATCATTTTATTATCATTAGTATGTATAAATTAGAATAATTTTATGTTTATGTAAAAGTAAAAATGACGCTGGAAAAAGACAAATTTGGCTGGAAAGGTTGGGCTGGGAATTTGAAAAAAATGTTTGTCAATAAAATTGGGTTGAGAAATCGAGAAAACTGTTTGAAAAGTCGTGAAAGTTGGTTTGAAATGCGAAACAGTGGAAAATAGCAATTGTCGAACATGTCTAACGTTGGGTGTTAGTTGGTTGGAAAGTCGTTCAAAGTGTTCATGGAAGTTGGGTGAAACGTCAAAAACATAATTCATGAAAGTCGGCAAGGTTAGAAATAAAATCGAAAAAAAATTGGTTTGGAAATTTAAAAATGTTGGTTGAAAAGTTGTGTAAGTCTGTATGAGAAGAATACACAGTTGAGTGAAATATCGTGAGAGATAGTTGAAGTTAGAAAGATAGTTGTAAAGTCGAGAATGCTAATCAAAAATTCGTAAAAAATTGGAAAAAATTCATGAAAGTTCAATAGTCGTATAGGAGATCTAAAAATAAAAAACATGTTTGTTGGATTTTTTTTTGTTTTAGATTTATTTGTTGAAAGTTGGTTGGAATGCCAAAAAGTATTAAAGGTGGTGAAAGTTGGCGGTGACGGTGAAAGTCATCAAAGTTGGTGACAATTCGTATAAGAAATAAGAATAAGTCTGTGTGGAAACTCGTGTATTGTTGGAATGTCAAAAAAGGGTTGAAATGTCGTGAAAGTTAGTTTGGAAGTGGCGAAAAATGGTTACGGAGTTGACATAGTTTGTTTAATAACGTCTAAACCAAACAGAAATGAAGAAACTGATCTGAACTATAGAGGGCCAAACCCACAATAGAAAATAAATATATCTACACAGAATTTTATTGTAACAGCCATTACATAAATCTAAACACAACCCAGGAATATATGCCTACAATTCCGTTATACTTCCGATGAAAACATGCAAAACGTTCCAATTTAATCAAAAACTAGCTAAAGGGCCATCGCGCGCGCCAGTTTGAAACCCGAACTGCGTCTCATTTTTGTTCACAATTGTTTGTACCGTGAAAGTACGCAACATGCAGTGGACTGGAAAAACGTTTCTGTTTCAGAGGATGGTTTGTCGATCCAAATAAACCTTTAATGCGTGTGCGCGAAAGCATTATTTAATGAGTGTTAAATGTTGAACACATTGTTGTGTTTATTAAATAAACTTTAAACAACTTAAAGCCGCGTCACCTCATCATTTTTCTCGAGAAGAGGCGCAAAACCTTTTTAGGAGGCTAAGTATGCTTGTCCACATCACGGAATCGTCATGTTTTCATTGTGTTTTAAATACAATTGTGTTTGATCGATATCAATCCGGTGTTGTTCATTTGTTTATCGTCGTTGTCTTTACATAAAAATATAACAACTGGTGATGTACCGTTATATACACATATGCATTACGAATTCGTTGCTAGCCACGGGTGTTCTGTGGTTCATAGTGACAACATATCGCCGTAGAATTATCGCTGTTCGTGACAGACAAACTTATTTTAAAATATACGGTGACAATTCGTTTCAGTTGAATACGGTTGTAGTGAATTGCTGCCACTTTCAAAATTGTTAACACTCATAAGAACAAGGAATACATGCCGATACAATAGAAACAGTTCGAGGGGCGTTGGATAGCAATGTAGTCGGATTATTCCTAATATACTTCCCAAAGTAACTAGACATTACAAGGATGTAGTGCCCACATATCATTATATATATCTGTATGCCATCTCCAATAATATTGACTTTATATGGCTTGATATGTGATAATGATAATATGCAAAAATAATTAAGCCGGGTATCTAATCCGATTCCGTGGCTAATTAATTTATTGAAGATCTTGTATTCTTTCAAAATGTTGTATACTGCCCTTAACTGTCATTGATAGGCCACTTACAAACGAAGAACCACAAAGAAAAATATACATCAAGATTATTGTTACGTTATGTGAACGTTGATATCCATGCTATGAAATAGATTGTCCCGTATATTTGTAAAACGTTGTGGCTGACACATTTTTTTTGTATTACGACTACGCTACGTTAACCGAATTTGAACGACAGTGAACCCCCACCACACTTACTGTCCAAAGGTTAGTGAGCGAGAAAGATATAACCCTGAAATAAGATTGTCTAAACGCAGAAAAAAAAGCAATGAAAAACCCATAGCATTTTGAAATTCAATTTCCCGCTATCTTATACACCAGGTCTACCTGTGTAACAGTTTTTGTCAACATTCCCTGCATCATTAAACAAAAACATCGCCGCTGACCTGTGTTCTGCTGCTCGCAAACTTAATTCACTTGACCCTCTTGTATAGTGTTTTGCCAAACTTGAAACATATTCCCAAATTGTACACAAAACACGTTATTCTGTCACATCTCGGTTACATCTACTGCAGCAAATCGACTGTAATTTCACTGTTGATATCTGTACGTATTTGTCTATATAATCTAGAGACATGTGGGCAATACAAAATAATATACAAATATAATGATATAATAGCGTATAATAGCGTATACAGAACCAAATCATTCGTAACTTTTACTATCTAAGAAACCGTTTCTATAAGGTGCGCCCTCTGGCGAGGCAGTATTTTTATGACGTGATACATTCGCAGCGCACATCGTCAATGCAGTTTCCTGTCGACGTCCAGAAAAGACAAACATGGCTGAGGCACATATTGCACAGGGAATGAACGTTAAAAAAAACAAAGATGCAAGCAGCAAGTCAGCAAGTGTCAATTAAGAAAACTCAAACTTGTGGAAACACACACGAATACATCTCATATTACTTCATTGAAATATACTGCAAAGCTATTCAATGGCGTACGTGCTCTGAGACGCGTCAAAGCCCAATTACCCGAAATAATTCTGGTAATATATGCCCGGCACATAGGCTGTACTACTACATCTAATTCCTGTTACTCCATTATTAACAACTCCGGTTGACTGACACTTCACTTGCATCCACTGTGTTTCTTTGTACACAACGACTATGTTTGTATTGTAATGCAATACGAGACAGCCGCTATTCTTGTATCAAGTATTAAACAAAACACATCAGCCACATATATGCGTCCCGGCTTTGTATCGTAAATTGTTTTGTATGTGTTGAGTGTCAACAAAATGAGTGCGAACGTGTTATGTGTCATAAAGGACGTACAAGCAACTCTGGTATGACACAGGTAAGAAATGCCGTCAAAAGTTCGTTGTTTGTTGCATATAACATATACTGATAAAATTAACGAGATTAAGTTATGCTACACGTAGTCTTACTTGTAAACTTTGCACATATTACGGATATTAATCGAGCGGACCGTGACGCTACTTTTATGAAAAGCACACATATCTACTGGTGAACCAAAATGTTCAGCGATGATCCGCGAGAAGTAGATCGCTCTGTCATCTCGTGAGACAATATATATTATTTACACTCACATTCTTTACATTGACTACTTGGTTGAGCAGTGCAACCAATGGAAATTACGCATAAATGTACACGTCGTCATTTTCATACAATTAAGCAGGCGTGTCATTGAACCGTATCGGGTGATAGGGTCTAATATAATAGGTATACTGTGTAGAGGTACTCGGGGACTGAAACGATGAACACGTACCGATCTCCCAACTGTGTGACCGCCGTGATACAGTCGCCGTATTAAGGGAGTGACATCATTACGGTATGTTAATTAATAATTTTACTAGAGTAATACGTCAGTAATACGGTTTTAACTACGTATTCTATTATCGTTGTTCTTTTTATTTCACGGTTGTCTGAGATAGGAGTATTGTTTGTATATTTCCATTACAATGTACCACACTCAAATACGTAATTCAAAATAATGTACAATTTTGTATTTTGAAAAGCGGCATTCGTGGTTTGTGTGTGCGTGCCATTGTTCTAGATTGTAGATTTCAGTTTGTGATCACCGCCGTGTTCTGAAACTTTGAACTCAAACAACTTTCAAAGCGTACAACTACATTCACCACACTGTTTAAAGTTGAATATCGCTTTCGTTGACATTATAATAAAATCAGACATCTTTATTATCAGCCCCATTTGGTTTCAAGTGCGACAACAAAAGGTGATGATATAGTCCCTATTTAATCTTGACATTGCCTTATTGTCATGTCTGACCCAAACGCCTTGAAAGCTAACGTACCATCCCAATAAAATAGCATGGTTATTAATAATAGCTGACTTGAAGCTTCAAAGAGGTTGTCACCATAACAACTTCAACGACGGGTGGTGATTGTTATGCATTGATCGCGTTATCTATTAAAACACGTCGGTTTTGTAAGGAGGCTCTGTACACGATATCTTCAGCCACCGTGCATGTTCTATTGTTCCCGTGTGTGCTGTTGTTGAAACCGCTTCAGCGAACACGAATAGTAGGATTACTAGTATGTGTTTAACTGTTGATAGCTAGAAAAGCAACAAATATTATAAGTGATTTGGGGTAATTTTGATGAAAGGAAAAATCATAACGTTATCGATTCGTGCCACCGTTAACGTAAAAACACACGTGTGTTGTAAAAGTAACGAAATGAATCCCTCTTTCATTGCATTATATTGTGTTGTATTCATTACAGATTGTTGTTTAGTAACTATGAGCTATTCGACTATTGATGTTTTCACTAAATGCTCATTTCTCAGCTGCGTTCGTATATATATAGTGTGTTGTTGTTATGAGTCGCATTCTATGTTTCACAGTCATCGCGATGTAAACCACAGCGGTAACTACACGCAAACGTATATTTCGCTTTGCAGGTATGAATTAGCCGGTCGCTACAATAAGCTACTGAAGCCGGGGCCAACCATGAGCACAGTGACTGTACATGTGAGTGGGTTCCCGTGGTACACAAAGGTGGACTCGTTGGAAAAATGCTTCAAACAGAAGAAGAATATCACGATAAATAGTTTGAAGCTACAAGATGGTCGACATGGTGCTCTTGTCATTTTTAATTCCGCACAGGGTAGGTTATTCACATAATCACTTGAAAACCCGACATTTCTTACTTATTTTGTTTTGTCTAAATTAACCAGTGTACTTTTTTGCACAGAAGCCGAATACTTTTCAAGGCAGACACTGTTCTTCAGTGGTCGACAGAAACTCAAACTAAAGCTATGTACTAAGGTAAATATGTGTATGACGTGACAGTGTCAATAAACTCAACGTGGAATCGAACAAGTCTAAGATTAAATGAGAGTGTTAGAAAAGAAGAACGGGTCTCATCCATCATTCCTGGCCAAGTTACTTGAATGTATAATAATTTACTATGTGATTTTCATAATAGGTATTTAAGCCACAGTTGACAGGAATCCTGGAACCTTGGGTGACGGGTACCTTATATGAGAAACTATTTCTAAAAGTTGGCGAGTTCAACATAACGATGGATAACGATGAGCCGTGTCGTATCACGGGAGACGAGGAAGCGTTATCTTGCGTTAAAAAATACGTAGAAGATATATCAACACGGATATTTGAAAATCGGGGGTCGGGTAAGTACTTATCACATTTGGGAGCATGACAAACTGGTGAAGTTCACGTATAGTAAATATAATAGTATGTAAACTGAATTGTGTTGTATAAACCAGAGTTACAATCAATAACACATGTACGCTTATATGCCGAGTGATACAGACACTATACTCTAGTTCAAGTTATTTGACATACAGGATTGATTAACATATTACTAGTAACACATTTTCCGATCGATTTTAGACCGTCTTTGTAAAACATGTCGGGTTGCTGTTAGACTCGGACGAATTCATTTGAATGCGGCAGATAATAACACAATCAGCTGCACATTTGTACATTTCTTGCTCCTTCCGCGGCTGAAATCACATTTAGTACCTTGATGCGATGGTGAAATGTGTTAGTATATAGAAAATTAATCAGTGTACATGTACGTGTAGATTTCATACTTCCATATGTTTGTTTTATAGGTGATTACACTATGAGAAACGTAGTGTACATTTCAAACATTCCAGATGTGAATATGTCTGAGGACGATCTTAAAAAGTTTGTAAACGAGAAGAGCGACCAGGTTGTTGCAGTACACAGGGTCGGTGTGATGAATGAAAATGGTCTGCTTCTTTTTGAAACCGAAAAAGGTAGGTATTTCAACTTGAATTGTGAATTGCACTGGCATATTATTTGTTAAAGTTAACAAATCCTAGTTATGTTCTCTCTGGAAATTTACCTATGTGTGTATGTTCGCATGTCGTTTGCTCGCAAACTTCTAAGCGTACTGTGGAAATACAGGCGTCCACGACTCGCTAATCACAGTCTATTTTGTTCTTCGAAGGCTACGACTGTACAGATACTCAATTTTTCGACACACTCCGCACTGTCTAATATAACGTGACAACAAGACTAAGGTGGGGTGTGTTTGCTTAAATAATTAATGCGCAGATCCCCGTCCTTGTCCCATTGTCACACAATAATGGGCGACACGTCATTTTTCTCCCTAATTGATGGCCTATAATAAGTCTTTTATCAAATCAACGACACGTAATCATCATTTACTTATCATCCTCGTGAGTCTTCTCCTTATATAACAATAATTACGTAAGACTCCCATGTTCTTTAATTTTCTGTATATCGTTACTGGAATCTTTTGGGAATATTAATAGCTGTTTTATACAGAGCAATTTCCGTGACGTTGTATATGCTTGGGATTCAATTGAAAAGTGGCCGCCTATGACTCGGATCGAACAGATAACCATTTTGTCATAATGAATATTCCGCGTTAGGTTTCTCTCGATATCTACCTGACATACATGATTATGTCGGTGATCAAACGAAGAAGCCGTAATTAAACGGGTTATACTCTCACCTCTAGCGAACAGCCCCAATACGAAAATACAACGACACATTGCCTTTAAATCACAACCTTGGTTAAATAAATACTTGTCAAAACGTTTACCGTCTCTAGGTTGGAATAACTGCAATTGTTCAACGAAAGCGTATAAATCGGCCGTCGCTATATTGAATCTATTGTTTAATTTCATTAACCACAGTGCACAAAAGCCGTGCATGGACAACGGGTCAGAGTTGAGTCTCCCGTTGTCGTTGGTACCTTATTGTTCTCTATTCAGCCATGGTGAGTTCATTGTGTCGACGACAATAAGTTAAATTGCGCTCTCCCCGCCATTAAATCTTCCGTATTTGAAATTATCTGTACTCTTCATCATGATAGTGCATTGTTATGTTGTTTATGTTAAGTTTTGCGTCAACAGTATACGTAGAGCTTCTATGCCAATCAGCGAAGCCAACTTACTACCACTTATTGGACCACCAACATGTAGTCCAACTATTATTATTTCTTCCCTGTTCTTTAGTATTTTGCTCAGATGGTGTTAACATGACGACCCAGTTCGTAAAGGAGACAGTGTTGTGTCAATACAACTAAAGCGGGGGACGACATCTGCGCACGCGCGGGAATTGAGTCTCAAACGACGATAACAACACACGCTAAAAACGCAAAGACTCATGGATAGTCGCTTGTCTGTAAATATTGACACGTTATGGCACGTTATCTGACGCATGCGCAGGTGACGACTCCGCCGCTTTAACTGTAAGAGATCAATAACAGTACTTTAACATTCGTCGTACCATAAATAAATCGACAGTTTCAGTGCTTGTTGTTTGTAATAGGTGACAAATCAGTCGAATGTTTTTTTTAAAGATTTTAGTCTTACTGGAATTGAAAGACCTCAGTTTGTCATCACTTTTATACTGCTCTGTTCTATATCGTATCCACTCCTTGATATAATGTAAACTCATAGTTGCTGTTGACATAGAAAGTACGTGTTTACTTTGATTTGACGAAGTATTTACCATGCCGTTTATTCGGTGATGTTTGCTTACCTTGATATAACGTGTTCGTCTCCCTTTATTATAATAATAGACATTGTCACCACAGATAATTAAATGTGTTGACAGACAAAAAAAAAACAAACACTTTTCACATTTATCACTGCAGATGCAAGGCAGTTTTCTAAAATACCTTTATATTGGAACCAGAGTCGACTTAGGGCGCGGCAGTGTCAAAAGGTAAGGTCGTTACATATGACGGTTTGCCGTTTACATGAAACGTTTTACTGTTTGTGAAAAGATCTCTGTACGCAGTCCCAGTGTCAATACAAATAACGATATACGGTATAGAAGATAATTACGCGTATATTATCAATGTTATGACAAAGCTACTACCAACAGATAGTGGACGTATGTCTACTCTCCCATGCCCTTTTATACCTTACGTTCGCTCGAACATATTGGCTGCGAGCCAGTTCTGTTTCACGAAGTATTCACTGACTGTTTGTTGTTTAATTGTGGCTTTCGTAATCCATTTGTAGCGAACGAAAGATACTCATTTCGCGTGAATTCTTATTTACTCCCTTTCCGGTTTTCAAATTCATAGTCTGTGTCTGTACTATAGGTTTTCAGCTCAGTCACTGCCACTGCCGAACCTTGGACCCTTGTTGAAATGGCACGAATTGATAAAATATCTAAAAAGTACGCTCTACGCCATGAAGAAATGGAAGATCTAACGTTCACCGGTACATTGGAAGCCCTGAGGAACATGAATGAGGAGGTGACCGAAAGATACATACGTGGAGTATCCACTGGGTATGGATGGAATCGAACAAGCAGGCGGAACTCTATGCAAAGCACGCAATCAACGATATATGAAACAGACGACGAGGAGATACCTTATGGAAGCGTTACTGACAGGCCGAGCCGTAGCCGGAGAAACAGCCAGCTACCACGGAAGCCGACAACCTCCATGGGTTTCTATCATTTTGATGACGAACAAGAGAGAAAGGGCGAAATGCAATTGAGATTGGGAAATCTATATAAGTCTACGCTTGTGAAAAACTTTGGACCTCGTACATATACAGGTTTACGGCAAGAAGTGGAAGCCGACGAAGATATTTTGTTCTTCATCTCCAAAACAAGGTACGCAGAACTCCACGACATTGAAACCAAATATGGTGTCACAATCACGCGAGATATCGGAAAATACGTGATTACCGAAACACCGCGCAAAGGCAACGTATTACCTCATGTGGCAGAGGCGAAGGAGAGTCTGGTGGCGCTCATCAGGTCCATTGTCGGAGAGTTACACCAGGACAGTGCGCTGTGGCTCAGGGAATATAGCTCCAATTTACCAAGCCTGACTTTGCAAAATTTAGTGGAACGGATAAATCACGAACACACGAACGTTTACGTAAAACTTTCCTCTGACAACTCACGACTTATTATACATGGAGATACTAAACACGTGACCGCGGTCAGAGCAGAAATTGATGACTATCTTCGAAAACTGTTTCACTCATCGAGGGACGGACGACGTATTTCACCAAAATACAAGGACAATTCTCGACCGTTTTTTATTGATTTCGACGATCCATCGAGCCGAAATATAAAGTTGTCTGATTCAGGGGAGAGGGAACTCAGATATCACCTTCAGACAGGGTATTATAAGTTCAGAACAATAGAAGGCATAGAAATCATGGTTAAACAGGGCGATATAACCAGAGAACCAACGGACATTATTGTGAATTCCACCAATGACAGTTTGGAGCACGGCGGCGGTCTCGCCACAACGATTGTGGACATTGGTGGATACGACATCCAATCAGAATCTCGCAATTGGATTCTCAAGCACGGTCGTTTAAACGTTGGAGACAATGCGGTTACCCACGCGGGTAATCTTAGCTGCATGTTTATCATACACGCATACGGACCTACGTGGAGTCTGCACAGAAAACGTTGTGGTGATTTGTCTTATCAGACTGTAATGAACGTCTTGAATGCTGCCAATCGTTACCATGCCAACTCAATTGCGATCCCAGTCATTAGTTCCGGTAAGTGATTTTGTTTTATATTTAGACGCAGAGAAACGGCTTACCCTGTATTTCATACCAAATTATGATTACCATATCGAACAAACAAGTGATTTTATTGATTTACCGTTATTTCGAATGAATGACACGTGTATATTACCCACTATATGTTACAGGGCTGTGGTCGTCGCGCCGCGTCTTGCTAGACACGGGACCTATAGTGACGTACGCAACGCGTGTAAAATATATTGTTTGTTTACGCAAAATTCGAACACGTGCTGCGCGATGACCACTGCCCTATGTGATATATATATAATATGAGAATTATTTACTCCGACTTGAAGCTCAGAGATCAGTTTGTGATGTCGTGTCTTTATAACCATTTAACTTCACTGGCATTTAATTTCACTATTTTGATGTTTTTGATAAATGTTACTGGGTTTTTAAGTTCACGAATTTGTAAAACTTTTTTTTACATATTTAGCTGAAATAAATTTCAAGCGGATTTTAATTGTTAGCGAAAATAGCGAAATTGAAAACCGGCGGATAATTAACGCGTCTACAGTTATGTATTTGTACGTTTTTGTTGTTGAAATTCGTGCTGAAAAGCTGCAAAGCGTAGACTGTTTTTAACAAAAGAAAAGAATGGAAATCAATTTTTAATTACTCTGTGAAATTCTTCATTTAATGAACGCATGAATTTGTTTCATATATAAATATATTTTTGTATGTTTTATATATTTCAAATGACAATCGAAATCTACTTGACCAATCACAGCGCGTTTAGAAAGGAGGAAGCTCGCAAGAACTCATGGTAATAGACGTTAGAAAATGTGGCTTATATAACCAAGGGAAAGTGTTTTTTTAGATTTGAATGAAGCGTGACCATCTCCCATTTGTGACATTTGTGTTGATATCTTGATAAATATTGACTTTCCCATAATCCAACGCACTCTTCTAATGGAAATCACAAGTATGAGGGTTGACCTGGGCGCGACTTGCACTGATTACCGTCGGTGACTCCTTAGATACCGTCCAATCACCTAAAAATACCTAATTAAACAGTCAAAGTCGCCATCTTTGTTCATATGAGACCCATATATCTCGCGCATGCGTGGCGCGACGACTACCGTCCTCAAATGTCTGTTTTGTTATTTTAAACAGGGGTTCCGAGACATATATCCGCTCACGCAATGTATAAAGCGGTTTTGGATTTTTCCTCCGTTTGCGTCTACAATCGCTACCTGAAAAAGGTCACCTTCATTGACATCGACAGTGACGTCAGGGATAGCCTAATTATCGAGTTCTTCAAACAGACCATGGCGTCAAGATATGCATATGAGAATACTCAAAACATTGACGACCTGCCGAGTCTACCTCTGTACCGTAGCCCTGGGATGATCTGCCACGATATGGCAACTAAAACTTATCAAGATCACCGGCCATCAAAGGTTCTCAGACGCCGCGCTGCCACTACTTCCAGTACTAATGTCGACGACTGGAATTCTGGGAACGTGCTATTCACGCTGGTACCGGAGTTGAAAAGTCGCCTGAAAGCTGGGACTGGTAGCCAATGTGATATGTGCGAGGGTGATTATACAGTTGTGCGCAGTCTCACTTGCTGTGGCTATTCCATATGTGATAGCTGTGCTACTGGGCATTTCAACAAATATACCAAATGTCCTTCCTGTCGCAAACTTTTAGTTAAAAATGTCGGTGATCAGCCATCTGATGGAAGAATGGCCTACTATAAAGAGTTTGCATCGTTGCCTGGATACGAAGAATGCGGAACTATTGTGATTTGTTACGATATTCCGGACGGGTATCAAGGAGTAAGTATTTTTATGTGGCGTACATTCAATCAACGAAAAGAACAATACATTTTAAAATTAATAACAATCATAAAGACATTATCAAAATTTATTTTAAAATTGTACATATTAATCCGGTCATAGAATCATCAAAATTATTCCTCGATTGTAAGTTGTTACACCTACGTGCAATGCAAGTATTCATTTATATGTAGTATAAGTGGTATTCATTTATGTTTATTATCATTTCAATTATTTGTTTGTATTCCTAAGCATGAAAATTACTGAAATGGTATATACAGCCGAGGACAAAATACCGTGTGCCAATTCCTTGTTAGTACACTGCGAGACAGTATGGAGACGCTCTTAGTGCACGCGTTATCAATACTGTCCACAATATAATTTTCAGTATGTCTCATTTTGGTGGCAGTGCCCGCAAAGTCGACAAAGAGTAATACAAAACCATTTCAAATTTGAGCAACTTGGTCAACGATATATTGCGCTGTTATTATTCGTCCTCCAGTTTCTGTGATAAATCCCGTCATGCATTGCTGTTTGAATTCCGCTTCGAGTGCGCGCTAAACACTTAAGAACTACGTAATGATTGATATTGAAATTTCGCTTTAACGCAGTGTTAACATGAGTAAAATACTTGGGGCACATAGTGGTTATTCACAAAACAACTCGAATATCTGGTGCACACCTCATCTTAAAAGAAAATGCCTCACATCGAATATTGATTTATAATACAGTTAAATTTTGATCATCGAAAAGAGAGCACCGCGTTCGATTTCGGTGACGTTATGACACCCCAGGATGTTGAAAACTCAGTCATGGGGCACAGCCGAATATACAGAATTGCTCGGTGATAATCGGATATTGGCAAGAGACTTGCGAATACTGTAGTTGTTGCATTTATTCCTGTACACATATTACTTGACATGTAAAATGCCTCGAATTTGTCGTAAACAAAAACAAACAAACATACTTTAATAGAAATTAATGTCCAAGATGTCAACTACAGACAAAAGGATATATTAGAGTCCTATTTCCACATCTGCAGGTCACGCGTTTGAGGAATCCGCGCGCAAGAAATAGTCACGATATGCTGTTCTGAGTTGTTCGTGGGTTATGTGGCCGGATACAATTATTCTACGTATATAATTCCGCAAAACAATGCTTGAAATAAACACATGCAATTTATTTTATTTTGTTCCAGGAATCACATCCACATCCAGGACAGCGGTACATGGGTTTGAAACGAATGGCTTTTTTGCCAAACAACCGCGAAGGTCGTTACGTATTAGAATTGCTGAAGAAAGCGTTTGCCCAGCGGCGTCTATTTACGGTCTGGGCGACAAATATGCGAGGTCGAATCGACCGTGTGGTGTTGAGTGTTCAACATAAAACCCGCCGAAGTGGAGGTTCAATGGGGTCAGTGTAATCAACGCAATCAATTATCACTTATAATATATATACATATATATATATTCTAATATAGTAATAATAACCTAATTGTAATATCCATTCTCTGCGTTTTTTCCACAGTTTTGGCTACCCCGATCCAACATACCTAAGAAGAGTGAGAGAAGAATTGGAAGACAAAGGAATATTCAATAAGGAAGTGGAAATATACTAGTTATATACGAGCAATATACATTCACTTCTACAGCGCTGCTATTTATTTTTAATACTCGTTGCTGGAACTATTTCAACAGGAGACGAGACACGTCAATTAATCGACACAAGCTTTACAAACGTTGAAACTATATAGCGCCTATCACGAGTGGCATTTCTCTTTGAAAGCATAGCACTTATGTATACTTCGTAATGTATTATTCAGATATTGTTGTAAAATATTTATGTTCTAAAATATCAGAATAACTTAAACTTAAATTTGAAGTAGTATTCACATAAAGAGCCACACTTAGTGAACTATTCAAATATCAGATGAGTTTTATATACATATGTGAAATTGATATATTCTGTGGATTTTACAAATCACAGGTTATAAACTTGGAGCTTGGTAATCAACACTACACGGGTGAAGTGTATTCTGTATTAAATTGAATTGACATTGCTAATAAAGCATTTGAAATAAATTCATAAATACTGCCCTCTAGCGGACAAAATGTTATTATTCTCAAACTAATTCGTTTACTTCTTTTTATATTTTACGTATTATTTCCGTCAACTTGAGTAGAATTGACTGCGAAATTATATTCTGAAACTCTATTTCCCTATCATTGATATCACTGAATTTTGTGTTATGTTACAATTTGACAGAGTGTGTAAACTTAAAGACCCGAGTTCTTTATTAAATCCTTTCTCAATTAATCGCAAACATAAGTTGTAATTGCGGTATCTAAACAGCGCCCCACGCGGGGAAGCGCAATTACAATACTTTCTTGGTCTTCAATCACTGCTGCTTGTTGTCAATGACAACAATTTTAAGGGTATATCTATAACGATTTCAATGATCGAGAATACCATCAACGCGAAGCACGTCATAAATGGCCTGGTTTGAAATACATAGTTTATTGACTTCGTTGGCTGCAGGTCCTTAACCCACATAATAGTGTGATCTGTTGTCAGTAGCAACAAGGTTTAACAATAATTCATCGGCGTGCAACGGGTGTCAATGACCAATCAGTAACTCGTCTGTGGGTCACAGGGGTTAGGTAAAGAATGAAGGTCGATTCGAAAAAAAATACATGAGCAATAAATTAGTCGCCAGCATTGTTTAACCCGACATGTCCAACCTTTGTACTACTGTTGCGCTAGTCTGTAAAGAACAAGTGACATATATATTGTATATTATTTTTGTTGAGCTTAAAATAGTTGCTGCGCCATCAGACTACAGGTTTAGCTTTGATCGGCAATTATATAGACACACGGCAAACTGCTTTTATGTATGATAGGCATTTCTGCACCTTATTTGTCTTCTGAAACAAAAAAGCATACAAAATTGGGAAACCGGTTAAGTTTATAATTATATTTATTTTGTAACAGCTTAGCAACGTAAATATAAGTATATATCAATTACAATCCCAACTGTAATCGATAGATAATATGCAGTTACAAAATAATATTGCTCATCATGTTTCGAGTTAGATTATGAATATTCATAAGTTGGTCTTATGCAACAACCCATCTACCTGACATATTTTCAAAACAACAATTTCATGAAAATAATATATTAATTTTATATACAATGATTACAATGGCAGATTCTAAGCCAGATAAATCTACTCGTACGCGGTTCCTTCTAAGATATACTATCAGCCGCCGCAGTTATCGTTGACCGGGCTCGTATACAGCTGCAGGTGGATATTTTTTATAATGTAATTTCTTGTCAGAACATTTGTAAGTTCTTGTTTACGTTTTAAACGTGATTAAATATTCGGGGTATGCTTGGTCATCGTGGAAAATAACAAACATGGACGGATTGGTTTCATTGTCTACGGTTGTATCAAATCTGTCAGTGCCATTTGCGTCTTTAAGTGGAGGCTCCTTCATGTCTGCCTTCCCTTTTGCCCATTTACCAACCAGTACTTTAACTTGGAAGATGTATCTATGGCCGGTACCATCAACCGGGGAAAAGTACGTCTTCATTGAGTAACCAGACTTCACAGCAAAGTAGACCCCTGCGCCCTCCCAATGACCGGCTGAAGTGAAAAATATGAATTTAATGTAGCTTTATTAAATATATATATATATATATATATATATATATGAATACATATAAATGGTCACAGTGACAGGAACCCGGGCTATGATTATTCAATACTTACTGTTATCACCTGCATACGATCGGTTGAATCCGTCTACAATAATTTTATCAACGACGTCTTTTTTCGTGCCATGATATAATGTCCTCTCATTTTTCCTGGAAAAGCAATTACATCAAAATGTGATGCTTTGTCTACGTACATGACAAATTAAAATCAACCTGTGACTACATACGCTAACTCATATTGAAATTAATTCAATAGCGTCCGCCAGCATCACTCGGCGGATCTCAAATCATCGTTCAAATCAGTTCATTTAAAAAAAAAATACATTATAAGCTTAACTTATTTGTATTACATACTTGAGCTATCTTATTTACGAAACTTATTAAACGTATTTAGTATTTCCCTTTCTCGGGTAGTATTTATCATAGATTTCACATTTAGTTAATGATATGGATGCATAACATATCAGAAACCTGAACTGATAATATTATAATTTGATTGATTAGCTGCCTATTTTATACCTGAAGAACGTAAGTATACCTAACATCCACCTAGTGCTTCTTGGCCAATTAGAATGCTCCATTAAAAAACTTCGATGAAACACTGACTGAGTTTTACTGGGTAATGAATAAAGCAAAAAGAATGAGTTCGAACTCGGAGCCAACATGGCGGGCGATGTGACATACATGATGCCGACTGAGCTAGCTAGAACAAATTGTCGGTCATACGTTGTTTAGATTATTTTAGATTATGAATATTCATAAGTTCTTCATTGAACAGATCCTGGTTTTAGGATCCACCTATAACAATTTTAGTATGCAAATTGTATAAGAACAATGGCTACAAATTTCGAAAATTCACGCATGCATGGTAAACGTAAGGGTCACAGTCCCTTCTTGCGATACATTATATCATATCCTAGACAAAATATTAAACATTTTTTCAATTAAATATTTCAAATTACCTAACGTCGGACATAAATAAAAAACTTACCATCGCTTGTTTTTATTTTCTAACTGCTTTTTTTTCAAAGAATAACCTTTAAATCGATCCTCGTGTTGTATTCTTTCTATTTTCACAATTTGGTGATTTTGCGCTGCATCAGCTGTTGCATTGAATGTGGTAGCCACCTGTTGATATTCAGGTGACCCTGCAGTGAGGGTAACCTGCAGTGGTTCCCGTGAAAGATGTCCCCTCGGAAATGGAATCCAGGTGTCGGGAAATATAACAGCTGAAAAATGTGAAAACGTTAGTGTTTAACGGGTATGGAGTATTATAATGCACCTAACGCAGCAGCCCAATGTTGTTTTTTATTGACACTAATCTATTGTATGCGTATAGTAAATAAATTATTAATATTAACCGACACTTATATGATTATGACGAGATAAATGATGTGAATAAAAACAGACATATTAAGTAGGTTTTGCTTACTAAGCTCCTCAGGCCCATCTCGTTCAAGAGCGTATTTTTTATGATTTCTTAGGTTAGTTTCCGTCATAGCTCTAATGTCTACTTGAAACTTAGGCTTGCCATCTTCTCCATTCAGACACACCATCTTCTCACCATTTTGTCTCGCAAGTTCAAGTTCATAATTCCAAATGGTGTCGAAGGGATATCTGTTGCGCCCGTCAATAAAAGACCTGCAAATTCAACATAATTGTACAGTTTGTGCAATATAGATAATATGGACTGAGTAATTTAAACCTGAACAAATAATGTCCTTACCAAGTAACTTTCTTCTTTATTTCCTTTGCCTTTTTGTATTTCTGTAGCCAATGGCGTACTTCCAATTTGTATGTAGGTACATCAATCGATAACCCTCTTAGCTGCAGCTTTCCCTTGTCACTACTAGTCAATGGCAGGAAACCTGTTAAGGAAGAAGTACATACACACATTTTATTCTAAGTCGCGACCAGGAACTAAATTTGTTAATATCTTGAACTATTGCGACCCTAAATCGCAGCTATAACGCATGTATATATGGACTGTACACATGCGCGCGTGTTCTTGCAATGACGCGAAATATACTAGAATCATTGAATTAAGAACATGATGTTTTTTTCGATAAAAATTGTATTTTCTTTACCTGGTTTTAAAACTGTCAGAAATTTAACCGAAACGTTGTTTTCACGGCCAATAGATACAAGTTTGTGGATATCCTGCCGCTCTAATTTGATTAAAATATCATCTTCAATGTAATCAACAGTAATTTCCTCCGACAATATCTTCTTTATTTCAGCTTCCGCTTTGCGAATCTCTTTATCATTGTCCGATAGGATTGTGATGGTAACTTCTGCATCTGAAATGGTTGGGTCACGTTGTACGTGAAATGTTAGATCTGACCAATCACACAGGAGTATTCTGTCATGAGACAGAATGGATACGGGGTGAATGAATTACATGATTTAATATGTTATATATAAATAACTATTTATTTTAACTATTACAACCTTGCCTGTTGAGAATTTAGATATTAAATAACGAAATAGAAATCAGGATCGATACCAGCTAGACTGTGTTTATTACACTTGTAATTATTTGACTGAAGATATAAATAAAATACATACATAAAATTCCAATGATTCTTAGAGAATTTGAAGATATCAGATAAAATGTGCTTGTCTCATTGTAACCACAAGAAGAAGATATTATTATTGTCAACCAAAATATACATGCAAGACATGGTAAAATCAAACTCTCACATAACACACTGGTGATAATATGACACTGGTATAATTATATAAATCCTTGAGTACATACTAGTACTTGTATAATACCGTTCTGTTACTTTAATATTACATTCACTATAGTAAACCCAAGGTCTCATATAGAATAATACATCATAATACTACATGAACCATTTTGGAAAGACAAATACAGGCCAGATTTTTTGGCAAAAATATATACTTCGTCAACATTTTGGTGGAATAAATGATATATACATAATGAAAGCAACACATCGGTTACTACATTGTATAAGTGACACACCGTGTAAAGTATAATAATGACACCTGCTTCTCATGATCAGTTGTGCAATGATCTCCAGTTCTGCATTTATTTCTTTATGTCGAACAAATGTTTTATGTTTTATTTAAAGGGCAATAGTAGTCGTGCTACGCATGCGCAAGATATATGGGTCTCATATAAACAAAGATGACGACTTTTACTGTTTGTTGTACAGGGACGTTAACAAGCTTTAATTAGGTGATTGGAATGTATTGAAGGAGTCACCGGCGGTAATTAGTGCAAGTCGCCCCAGGCAAAACCTCATACTTGTGATTGCCATTAGAAGAACGCATTGGAATGTGGGAAAATCACTGTTTATCAACCCAAATGTCGCACATGCGCAGCGCAATGACTGCCGCCCTTTAACGTGCTTGCCACGCCAAAACTGAACATATGATTTTTCATGATCAGATTACACATTATAATAAATTGAATACCTGAGTCAACAGTTTTACGATCACCAGTGACACCATGGGTAATAATGCTACCAGTTCCAAGGCGTCTTGCGTATTCTGTAACCATGCTAGCCTGAAATACGACAATCTCCACACGACTAAGGTTTTGAGGGTTACCATTCTTTGTAAATGATTCAATCCCTTTAATTATGCCTTCAGCAGACTCACCAGCACTTAAGCCAAAACGACCTGCAATACATGAGTTGATATAATACACATTGTCCGCTATATATTATTCATGTCAAAATATTAAAAGAACCAGGCAAATCCATCTTGATATTACAACAATACATTACAACTAATAACAACTAAATCAGTCAAACAATATCAATGTCATTGTTTCTACAATAAATGAAAGCACAATAGAACTGGACATCACCCAGAAGAAATGCCAACCTTGGCTAGATTTCATTTTTTCCGTTTTCCTCGCAGTAATATTGTGAATATATACTGTGACCTCGTCCTTCTGATTGGAAAAATCAAAATGGTCTTGACATGTGCGTGTGTACAATTTAAAGGTGTGTGTTATTTTTCTCTTGGAACTGTATTGTGAACATACATACACATAAAACGAGGACCTTGATTTTTGATCCGATACTATGATCAATTTGAAGTCCCTCTTGTATTTCAACACACACATGACTGTAACACATAATGAACAAACACAAACACATACTGTAAACTTGGCATTGTCCAGAAAATATACCCAGGAGTTGCATGGGTGCCCCCGTAGTTACCGTTATATAACGAAAATTCATAAACCCATAATGTAACCATGACCTTTGATTGTAAACTTAAGCATGGTGTTAAAAATCGCAAGGGGGATTTGTGTACAAAATGTAAGGGCGTTGGTTATTTTTCTCATGTAGTTATATTGGGAACAAAAACACAAAAAACAAATGTTTCGACCTTTTGTCCTAAATGCTGTGTTTCAAGTTTGAAGATCTTAGGTGTTCCATTACCTGACACACATATACCATGACCGTACCCTTTAACCTTAAAATGCAGCAAGGTCGCACAGGGAACATGTGTGCCCAGATTGATGACACTAGCCATGGTCCTATACAGTATACGCATGGTATGATCGTGACCTTTGACCCGAAATGTCACTGTGTCACGTGGGTGACTTGAGAATACTTGTGCAGATCAGACAATATCTGTTTCAAAAATTAGGTGTTGTTACCTGTGCCAATAGCTGGTAGTGCTATAGAATTCATTTCCATCATGTCAGCCAGAGAAAGACATTGTCTAATCTCTTGCTTTAGTTGTGATGCAGAAGGACATACCATATGAATAACGTTTTGAATACGACGCAGTGAACCACCCCCTGAACAAATGGAAATGAAAAAGATTTGTGTATTGTGAAATGCCGCACTGAAGGTGAATATCAATTGTCATCTGATATTATTTATTCATCTGTATCCATTTGTTTTAATGTAAAGGGCGAGGTGCTTACGAATGAGACAATGCTAACGTACCTGTAATTATTGGTCCTGACCTAAGATCGTCTTTTAAGCTTTTATACTCCGCACCTAAACTACTGCCCGCAGCTTTAAAAATAGAATTTCCGATTTGTCCTTGTTCTGTGAGGAGACAAACAAAGACGCTGCCTTATGACTTATAATTAAGTTTATGACTTATAATTAAGTTAACTATGATCAAATTGTGTCACTAGCACAAATGCTGACCGATTGTTACAGCAATCTGAGTTTGACCAAATTTTGAAGAATCTCTCACACTTACCATAGTTATCAGAAAACACTGGATTCACTATTACATCCACATCTGCAGCCGTCAAGTCGCCTTGTTTGATCTGTACAACCACCTTACCATACTGTTTATTACAGTCCCCAACAAAACGAGATTCTAATAATAAATACATTATAACAATAATTTTCTATTGTTTCTATTATTAGGAATAACCACTATAAACAATATGAAACAAAAATTTACTATGAATTATACTAAACTCACCAGAATTATCAACTGTGTGAGTGGCACTGTCTTGCAGCTTAGATAGTTCACTTTCAAATGCATTGACACTCATATCGTCAAATACGATGAAACGAAACTCCTGCCAGACAAAGTTGAAAGTTAATGTTGGCATGCCACAAAATTACAATGTAAAAAAAATGTACTGAGCAGCAAACAGTGAAGAACTAAATGATATGCGAATATATACTCCTGGGCGTATACTAAGTACTATTACTCATAGCTCTTACCTTTATTGAAGAACTTGGATACTTGTCAATGCAGTTTATGATCTCTTCAAGAAGAATCTGTGCACATTTACCATGAGGAAATCTCAGAAATCCAGTGCCTAGACTCGGTATAGCAATTGAAGCGTGATTTGCCCTTCCAGCTCTCCCTAAACATTTTCGAACAACATCCCTTAAAGTCTGTAAAAAATATGATTTGACACATACTATTAACACATGCTTCAATAAATAATGAAGAAGTGCTATTTAGATGATTTGTTCTTGACACCAAATATTACTATTATTGTGTAATTTCATGTGCAGTCACAACAAAACACTTTATAAATTGTAAGGTTTTTGTCAGAGGGATTGAAAAAATACAACATTACATTGCAAATAAAAAAAAAGAAAATGGAAAGTAAATAGGCGCAATAATATAGATACAGTGCC